CAAATGAACAGCGCAGGGCGGAGGGCGTTCCCCCCCCCCGCCCCACAATGAAACCAGCGCAGCCTCCAGGGTTAACTATAAAAATATTTATTCCTCTGTAATAAAAAGTGCAGCTCCCGCACCAGGAGCCAGGAAATTATTAACTACTTCCAATAATTCTATAAACACTGAGAGGAGGAGGAGGAACACGTACCTTGCAAGACACAGACATACTTTCCAGAAAATGTTCCTCTTAGCATGACTTCTAATGTTATTCCACTATTCATTATACAAATATTGAGGATTAGAAGGAGGGGATATACAGATTTCACTACTTTCCAGCTTCGCAGCGGCTGAAAATGATCCAGGAACCCATTTCCTTCATATAATGTTTAACAGAGTAACTGCTCCGTGTTATTACGTTTTGCCGGTGGAAACTGTCCAGAGCTCCTCCGACGTATTTGCAAGAGAAAACAGCTTGTGCTGAGATCCAGAATTGTTTGTTAGGAAAAGCATGTGTGAAAGTAAACACGAGCAAGAACAACGGGGCCACATCAAATGAAAGTTAACATCCCTTCTGATGTCCTAGAAAAACATTTCACCCACATACATTCACCACGGAGCTCAGAGGGCCATTCAAGCTGAAGTACTTTTGAGCAATTCATAACACGCCAGTACGGCTGGCTAAAGATTAACCCTAACCTTGAAGGATAATTATTGCATGGTTACCTTTCCTAAGCTGACGTTAACTACGGATTGGCCTGCTTGCATTAACATAGAATTCGTATGGTTTACAGGGCCTAATTCTCTGGAAAGGGACCTATTTGTGCTGTTTCTGCAACCCCGTTGCATAAACTGGCTTGAAAACAATCAGCAACCTTAAAGTGGGATTCAGTGCTGGAAAAAGAGTATTCACTGAATTGCGTGTGATATTCCCACATTTAGTTGCGATGCTCTTCCAAGGAGTTGGTGCTCTATTTTTATGTTCATGCTCCAAAATAACTACATTGAGTAAAAGCGCATTAAACAAACTGGTAGTTTATCTTAAGTTGGGGGAGTTCCTCATACCTCAGCTTCTGCAGCTCTATGTCTTCTCCAGTATTTCATTTGCATTGCACCAAAATGCCCTATCTGGTCACCAAATTATTTTAAAATTAAATGTAACTATCGCCTTGTCACTGGGAATCCCAATATTCAAAATCCTGAGTAAACCTCTTAAAGCCATAAATAGCAATTTAAAAAACAGCCCTTTGCAATATCTTCTAGATTCTTTCTGCTGCCTTGAGGGCTAGCGCTGTGATCATTTTAAAACAATATTCGAGCCTGTCAAGCATTGAGAGATCACATCCCAATTTCTAACCTGTTCTCATTCCAGTTCAATAAATAAACACAGAAAACTTGTCTTCATGACTGATAAAATTCAGTGTAAATAATAAACACACGTTACTGGGGAAAACAATTTCAGAACACATTCAGTGATCATGTTTCTTCTATTTAGTGCCTGCTAAAAATGTTAATACCGCCGATACTTAGAGCAATTTATTTCTGTTTCGTCACAACGCATTTGATTATCTGTTCAATATGTTGTACCTCCAAAGCCAAACATGTAAACTAGACCCCTTTGCAGGCTAAGAGTTCTGTGGGTGACTGCAGATAAAATATGGACCATGGAAAACTTTTCTTGTTCTACCTTCCACAGTAGGTAGACCGATGGATCTCAAATCCCTATTTATTCAACAGGATCCAATGTTGGAGCTGGAAAGCAAATTTCACACCTCCCATTCCTAGTTCCACTAGCTGTAAAAACAAACAAACCTGACAAACCAACTTATTTGTGACAATATTTTGAAGTTAAACAGTAGTGTGTATCCAACAGCAAAGCGATACAGTATGAAGTTATTTTTTTGTGCTGTTTCGCTCTTCTACATTGCAAGTCTTTTTGGCATCTACCATACCTACTAGGCTATACTTCTCCAACTGAATGTCCTCCAAATGTTGGAGAGTTTTAATCCCACAGCTCTAGAGGAGTTGGGGAGTGCTGATGGGTCTATTCTCTGGCTTAGCAAGGGATGGAGAGTGGTCCAGAGGGCTCCCATTTCTTTTTGTAAGCACAATGACCACAGGATTACCCCTTGTGTCTATGTCTCCAGTGGTCACCCTTCTCTGCTGACCTCTCCTTTCACCACTACCATTTGTTTGGCTCTACCACCATTGCCTGATCCACACCAGTTCAGAGAGAGAGAGAGAGTGAATGTACAAGTCAAGTCAAAGATGAGTCTCTGAGCAGTAGTAGCTTCAAGGAGGAGATGGAGTCTCTCCCCAGGCCATTCTGAATAGGACCCTCCCCAGATCCCACATGGCTATTGGATGCTGGGGAGCAGACATTAGTCTCTTCCAAAGAGCAGGAAGGCCCTGGAGGGAATTCTTGGGGTCTCCAGGCAGGCCAACCAGCACCTAACGTGGGCAAACTGGTGCCCTTTGTCTAACCCTTGGCAGCTGGGGCACACGAATGCTGAGCTAATATGTCCTCCTATCGTATTTATAGGATTGCTAGCTGTAGCACTGAAGCCTGGCCATTGATACCTTGATTAGCATCATCAGTTTTCTCCAGGGACATGACTATGCTCTAACTCAACATTTTTTCTTCTTCTCAACCAGGAAACCCATGATGGATCAAGATAAAATGATGCTTGTTCTCCTAAACTTGGTCCTGCTTCCACAATGAGCATGGAGCCCTAGAGGAAGCAGGATGGCTTGGGAGACAACAATACAAAGAGAAAGCAGGACCTTGGACAGCAAACCACAGACAATATTGGCCAGATATTGTCATTCTCTTGTTGACGCAGGAGCCCAGTAGGTCATTCTTTGGCCCTGCCCTTGCAAGATGATGGATGCACTTCATTTCCATAGGCTGAAACTCCTGCACAGGTGAGGTACAAGAGAACTACAGGACAGCTGTCCTCAGAGGTTGAAGAGCAGGCTGTCTTCAGGCCAGAAGGCTGTAGAAGGACTGCCCAAAGTTTGTCCTTCTAGTGGACTAGCCTGCCTTGTTGGGCTCTGAGCCCTGTTTGGGAGAATGTTCGGCCTATGAGCCAGAAAATGAGACAGAGGAGGATGGCAAACAGGCAACAGCGGGGAGGCTGGGTGAGCAGGGCAGTGATGAAGCTCCAGGTTGGAGCGGTGGCAGCTCTGATGATGCCAACCTCTAACGCCAGCCTTTCCTTGTGTCCCAGATGTTACGAGGCCAAGGAGAACCTTGTGGCCTCTGCAATGATGAGACTTCAAAGAATTATATGTCAATTACCTCACCATGTAAAAGAACAGAAGAAAGATGAACAGCTCAGATCTTCCGCCAAAGCCCTCACCCCACATCTTCTCCAAAACATTTCCTTTCCAAAAATGCACGCTGCAAGACAGCAGGAGGGTGCACTGATCATCTTTTACTTGAAAATAAGCTAATTTTAGGATGTGGGGAACCCGCAGTTTTACATCATAATTGCCCTTTTCCTGGATCAATTTAACTGCGCGGAAACCGTGCTGGGAATTCTCTCTCTTTCAAAACCTGCCTCACAGACCATTCCACAATAACCCTGGGCAATCAGGGCCAGGGTTGCTATTTCAGCCTGGTGCTTCCATCAGAGAAAATGGATAATTGTTTTTTCACGAGCTAAGCTGCCAAAGGAATTATCCACTTCTTACACTGACAAAGAAAATTCGTACCCATTTCTTCCACACAGATGGAAGTATGCCCTGAATTTCCAACACACACAAAATTTCACACAGTCTTTCCCAGGGAATAATCCTCTTGCTGCCAATGGGAGTAAATGTCTAAGTTAAGACAGCTCAAAATGTTTTTGTAGTGTGCTTTTTCCCCCAAGGGGGGGGGGGACTCTATTTTCAGAGCAACCCCTCTTGATATAACAAAATCCTGCAATTATTGCTTATGGAAAGCTTTTAAAAATCTTACAAAACATTATGTCCTTTCCAGTTTCAGTTGTGCTTCATCCTCCAGCATGGTCTCCCCACAATCTTGCTTGGTAACATGATACAAGAAGCCATTTTTCCTCTGACACACCACTTCTTACTCTGCCCGAAGTGCTAATTTTCTTGGCACACCCAAGAAAATATCTTGCTCCCATGAGTCCATTCTGACCTGACCCAGATGGCAGTCTTTCTGAGCATTCCCAAGCAAAACAGCCGAGCATCTGCAGTTCTTGACATAATTTTCCTGTAGGATAGCGAGAGAGACTTTGGGTTTTACACCAGAGTCCCGTTCTTGTTGTCATACTTCAGGGTGGCTCGGGGGAAGTTGAGGGTGGCATACTCCGTGGCATTCTGCGACTGGAGATTTTTCACCTCCTCAGCTGAACGTTCCCGGATTTTAGTGAAGACCTGGATGTCCGCGTAGTGCACGCTGCTTTCATCATGCTTCATATTCTTGGGCTTGCTCACGGTGGCGTAGACTGGGAACTCGGACACGTCATCGTACACTGGGGCAGCGTCAAGTCCCTTACACAGAGAAATATCAAATCACTTAGGTTCATGCCAAGCATTTAGGTGGAAGTAGGTGGAAAACCAACTGGCACTCACTGTCTGCTCGTTAACAGGAGCACAAAACACTGGGGAAGACTCTGCCCTCCGGGAAAAGGAAGACGGTTTGCGCTCCATAGGACAGACATTCCAGATTAAATTCTCCAGAATGTCTTGTGAAAACAACAAATCCTGCAGGATCTTAAAAGCCAAATTTGTTGGGACCAGAGATGGCTAGGATGGGAAAGTTTGGGTTGGAATGCACCTGGGGGGACCACCAGGTTTAGGGAGGGTGGCATAAGCTTGAGTGGACTGCATTCCACTTCTTCAAATGCCCCGTGGCCCTTTGTTATTTTCACTCCAGGAAACTGGCATATCTGCTCCTCTCAAAACCGTCCCTTAGGGTTATCCACGCACAAGTGCCCAAGACAGAAAACATCTATGCCCTGGAAGAGCAGCCCTGCACAGGTGTGGCTAAAAAACAGGTCGCTACTTGCAAAAGGGGCGGATGGATGCAGCCACCTCTAACCGGCTATAATCGGTCAGTATCCATGTGGCACTCTGAACGTCTGGATTAAGGCTGCGAGCAATGGTGGAAAGCTGATCTGCCAGAGAGCATTTTTCACCCCAAGGAAACCACTCGCTGATACGGCAGTGAGTCAGCACCCTGCCTTTCAAAACGAGAAACGACTTCTTGCAGTTGGAAGTCTCTCTCTGGGAGCTATGATGTAATCTTAGGGAGGGAGGATAAAATTCGAACACATTTATAACCCCCGTAAAGAAGATTGGAGGCCCTTTCTTTACATTCTGACTTCCTTTCTTTTTCTTTTCTGTTTCTCTCCTTTCTCTATTCTCTTCTCACAACTTCTGCTTCCTTTATTTTCGTTTCCCTTTAAACGTTCTCATCCTGCAAATGTTTTTTCAATTAAAATTAATTATAAAACAAAAAGGAGAAGGGAATTTACCTTATTGATCTCCGGGCTCTGTATACTCCGCTTACTGATTCTTGTACCTGTAGGGGAAAAAGAGCTGATCACGGCAGAAGTAACATAGCTCACGGAGAAGAAATCACACGGAGCCTTCGACCTGAATAGAATGGGAAAACCCCAAGGGAACGTGGCAGGCTTCGTATTGAAGGAAATCAGTTAGTTTCTATTCTCATGAGTTTAGTGAAATCTGGGAAAATAGGAGGGCAGAGTGAAGTTTCCACAGATTACCCGGAGAAGAATATCTTTATTTAAACCCAGAAACATATCTTGCCACCTGGACCCTATGCCCTGAGACCAAGGATCTCGGGGTTCAAAATCCTTGACTGACTGCAAATTATGCAAAATTGTGTTGTTGGTTGTTCTCAGAATACAAGTTTTCAAGTCATATATTAGGCATTCTTTTGTGTGAATGGAGACTCATAGCTGCTCGTTTGTTTCTAAGCGACAAAAAGAGAGAGAGAGAATTGCCCCCTAGCTAAAATTCTCAGGGCGAACGAAGTAAACCCAACGAAAAAAGAAAACCACTTAAAACAACAGCCGATGGCTGTGGAGATTAATGGGGCTGCTGGTGCTGTGGTAATCCTCAGCTGAGTGCCAGGAGCCTTCCCTGTGCCCTTTGCCAATTTTTAACTCGCTTTCCTGAGAAGGCCCCGACCCCTCCCTTTGGCGGGCCGTTTCCCACGAAGCCGCAGGGTGTCCTGGACTACAGGGCCCATGGTAACGTTCAGTCCAGCAGAAGGATCCCAAGAATGTGGGGACGTTCTGCTTTTCTCCACAAACACTCCTGCTGGTCACCAAAGGTGCTCTGCAAGAATCGGTTCCCCCAGGCAGCTCTTATTTCCTCTTCGGAAAACGATGCCTGAGCAGACAGGCTGAACTCGGATGCTCCTTCGCCCCCGAAACGTTGTCCCATCTGTATATGCACCCCCTCCCCGGCCCTGTTTATCTTACTTGATAAGCTATGTGAGTCAGTGGCGAGTGATCGTGACTGGAGAACAGCTCAGCTGTTTACCTGAGAACCAAGATGGTCTGAACGATGGCCCACGTGCCCCACATCTTTTGCTGCCCAAGACAAAGGGCACAAGGACGCTTCCCATTATGGGCTGGGATCTGGGCCATCTTTCAACCGTGCCAGGGTCAAACTCCCCCCTCGTCCCTCGGGGGCTGGAGGTATAGGTTGGGTGGCTCTGTCCTCCAAGATTAGGACATGGAGAGCCCCAAAGGGCCAGCAGGGAACTGTCATGGGTGTTCCACCCCCACCTGCTCCCCAAGACTCCAGATACCCAATAACAGGCCCGGTCCTGATCTTCATTTAAGAAACAGTGCTTCTTGATTGTATTTACCTGATGGTGATTATGTTTTGTGTTTAACTTGAGCTTTTCACGGCGGTTGTACGGTTGTTGTTTTTATTTACATTTTTTAATGGCTCTTGCTGTTGCTTTTAACCGTTGTGAGCTGCCCAGAGCCACGTATGTGAGAAGGGCGGCTGTACAAATGGAATAAATACATAAATCGCAAGACACATCTCCCACAGCAGCTAATTGGAAGCAAGCTTGGAGATTCTGCCTTTTCTTTCTTTTGGTCAGGAATACCTGCACAGTCCTCCCATCAGCTGCGCCCCCAAATCCCTGTCAAGTCTGTCCAACCACCTCAAACATACGGCAATGACAGAGTTATTGCTCTGTTCTCATTTTATGCTGGCCGCCCAGACTCGCTTTGGCGTGTCAATGGGATAAATTAATCAATACATCAATATTGCTTACCGGGCTCTTTTTTTCTCTTGAATAGCGAAGGGCAGTTCCTATCACAAAAGAGAGAAGATGCATGAATGAATTTGAGATGATTCAACTTCTGACAGCTGTTTCATCACTAGTTTGCAAAAATATATATGAAAGCTGGCGAGCTGGCCATGCTGCCAAGTGTTGTCGGTGAGGAAATTCTCCTGCTCATCCTTCCAGTCTTTCCCTTCCCCTTTTGGATTTTCCAGTTTTCTACCCGCCCCCGCCCCCTTACAATATTCAGTCTCCCTACATTCAGCCCTGGGACTTAGCAGCAGCTTGGGTCATAACTGGTGGCTTTCTGGATAGCTGCATGTTGAGTTTCACTTTCAACTCTATAAACTGTTTCGAGTTTCCCAGGAACAGGAAAACAGGATTAGAAGAACAAAAATAGAAGCCAGATCATTTGCATCACAAAGTCAGCAGGACTGAAGACCAAAGGAATGCAATTAGGATCAAGCTATATATGATTAATCCTCAAAAAGCAGAGGAAGATTTGATGCAGGAGCAACAGGCTGGTTCTTTGGCGCAGCGTGTGTAGAAAGAAAAAAGTCAACGATGGTTCAAGGAAGCTCTTGTTTCCTGACTCCTGCCTGCGGGCACCATCTTTTTTTCTTTCCAAAGATGGCTGTCCTCTCCGACAGTGAAACAACCTGGAATGTAAGGACGGCACCAGGCCAAGGAGAAGACCAGCTCTGTGCAGGCGAGAGAGAAACAGTGTCCTCTCGGGGATGAACTCTACTTGGGTGGAACGATCTGAGATTCCAAGAAGTTAAACAGTTCAGGGAATCCTTGCTCTCCTTGGCCAAAAGCCGTCCTTTCTGAGAGATGGACGCTCATTTGAAATGGGATAGCTTTAAATAAAGTGTTTTTTAAAAACGCCTCGCTTGCTCCGCTCTGTCGTTGGCGTTGCTGTTAACCCAGAAGTAGCGACCCACTGCAGCGCTCTTATTTACAGGGCCTTTGACAATCTCCACCCTGTTTCGGATGCTCTGAGCCTCCTTGCCAGAGGGCTACGGGTGTTCAGGCTCTGCCTCCAACCTCCTGGTTGCCTGCCGCCGCCGCCACGCCCTGGCAAAGGAAGAGGGACTGAGGACAAGAAGGTACACACCAGTGGCTTGGCTATTTAAGGTGTTGGAGCCGTGTCGTGTTCAGCTGCTTGCAAAAAGCCACAGAGGGGTCTTGGAGGGGAGGAGGCAGGAGAATGGGGACAGTGTTGCGAAGTCCCCCATCCAAACACCCCTTCTTTCACAAAATGCCAAGGGCAGCTGGGCAGCGAGTCAACGCAGCAGCTCGGTGACCTTCTACGGAAACAAACACCCAGTTCTAGTAACTGTGGCCAGGAGCCCCCCCACCCAGAAGAAGGGCGGGGGATCCAGAAGCAGCTGGCAACAAGCAGGTCACGGCCAGATGCCCAAAAGGGAGAGCAAGAACTCCTGGCTGCTGAGGCCGAGAGAGGGGTCAGCTCTCCTCTAAACCGGGCGAGCTGTTCTCTAGCTTCCTTGGTGGTTGGGAGCTCGGACCCTCCCCCCATTTCTGTCCCTTCCAGGGACATCTCCACCCTGCCTGGCTGGCGTGGAGGGAGGGGGGCCCTGGGCTGGCAGAGAATTCCCCGCAGCCATCTCCATCTCCTGGGAAAGACAAAGAAACGTGTTGCCCTTTAGGAAACAGGAACTGGGGATGGGCAGAGAACGGCAGGGAGGTCCGTGCCAAGGGGGGCAGCAGGGGGCTTTAAATAGCTCAGCCTTAAATACAATCGTTGGCATCTCAAGCCTGTTTGCAAAGAAATACAACGGCCTGGATCAGTTTTCCAGCTTGCTCTTCCCTTTGTGTTGGGTTGGAAGGCAGAGCGAGGCAAGAGACAGACCGCAGGCCCACTCCGGCCCCCATCCCACCACCCCAGTGAGACCAGCTAGAGTTGTGACAGAAAGCAGAGAGGGGCTCTGGCTGCTCCTGCTCTGAATGCAACGCACAATGTTCTCTGCCCCTTTGAGGCTTACTGCTGTGCGCAGACGTGCACACCCTTTTGGCACGCTCATCTTACCCGTGGGATGCTGCTCAGCTAGACCAGGGTTTTCCACAGATTGCAATATCCTTCAGTGGTAAGCACAGAGATGCCACGAACATAAACAAAGGGGCGGGTTTCAATCCCCGGTCGAACCTGCCGTCTTGACTTTTTTGACCCCTCCCATGGATGCTCTTGGGTAATGCTCCAGCTTTAAGCTTTTCCTTTACTGAATTTGCAAAAGAAAATATCATCATCATAGCAATGCGTCATGTCAACAAATGTGAAGCGATGCATGTTGGGGGGCACACGTGTGTTTACACATTTCATTAGAGTCTGCGTGCCGCCCAGAGACTGCTGGAGTGGGCAGCTACAATACATTTAATTAAATAAATAGATGAAATTAATCCATAAATTAACTGGATCCGAGACGGAAGCGGTGTGCATCCATTATCAAAGAGGCAAGTTGCATGTCTGAAATCATTAGGAAGGTAACAGAAAATAGACCTGATGATACGATGGTGCAAACCTACGGTGGGACCTCATTTGGTTATGATCCCTGCACTTTAAGGAGGCTATGGTAGATCTAGACAAGGAGCAGAAACTGGGCAACCAAACTAGTAGGCTGGAAAAAAACTATAGCAGCTGGGGCTCTCTTGTTTAAAATGGAAGAGAGACAACAGAGGCATATAAAATTATGCACCACGTAAAGAACACAGAGAGAGAAGTTCCACTGAAATGAAACGCAGGAAGATTCTGGGCCAAAAGAAGGAAATCCCTTTTTCACTCACTCCGTTCTCCAACCATGGAATTGATATGTGGGAATCATTAAGAAGCAAATAGAAAGCTGCTGCTGGAACCGTGTCCTGATAAACACACCTATGGTGAGAATTCATACAGTGTGATGTGTAAGTTCTGGTCATCACTCCTTAAAAAAAGCATTGTACTGAGCTAGAAAAAGGGAACTCGAATTGTCAGGGGACTGAAGCAACTCCTCGTGGGAAGACCCTGTTGCAACTCTAGGTTGGAATGAAGGAGGAGGAGGAAGATGGGATAGCGTAGAGGATGTAGGGAATGGCCTTGAAGGACAGGGGGAAGAGCCGCTACCAAGGCAACAGTCAGATAAGCGGGGCTTGAGCCCTGGCCAAGGAAATAAGGTGAGAAAACTCTCAGACAAGCCTCTCCCTGGTGTACACAAAGCTGAAGGGAGGGAGGGGGAAGCACATTCAGACTTGCATGATTCTGTCACTAGACCTGTTCCAAAGTACTCCTGACCTATATGGCATTGCTTCCTTAGTCTGGTCTACGTTCTTGGGCTGACAGATAGGAAGAGGAAACAATGCTTGGGGAGGCAAAAAAGCTTTTCTCCCCCTCTCCTAGAACTCAGGGTCATCCGTGGAAACCCAATGAAGGGAGATTCAGGAAATACTTCTGCCCTCAGTGTGTAGAATTCTCGCCCACCCGATGTGGGGATGGCAGCCCATTTGGAAGGGACCAGACCAGTCCACAGAAGATGGGTGATCGAGAGCCACTAATCCTGATGATGGTTAGCTACTTCCTGCTTTCCTTGCGGGAAATGGTGGGAAGGGAATCTCACCCCCGCCCCTCATCATTCCAGGTTGGTGAGCATCCCAGACCTCCAGGAGGCCACTGTGAGACCTAGAAGGCTGGATTAGGGGGCCTTGATCTGACCCCGCAGGACTCTTCCGCTGTTCTCATTTCACAGCAACAGCAGCAAGAAAAACACAGATTCCGCGTCAATACGATTTCAAAACAACCCAGCCCCGTGGTTTAAATTAACAGCGCGACAGCTACAAACATCGTCTATAAATAGCCAGTGCGGCAGTTACGTCGCTGGACTATGACCAGGGAAACCAGGTTTCAGTCCATCCTCAGCTATTGCAGCTCTCTGGGGAAACTGGGCCAGTTGCCCTCCCTCAGCCTCTCTCGCGGGGTTGTTTTTACGAGACAGGCACTGGAGAGGGAGGGCTCTGTGCAAACCACGACTCCAGCAGATGACTATAAAGCCGAAGAGAGAAACGCATCCGTAGAAATATACCTTGGTTCCCTAAAGAAGTCCAGTCTGCTTTAGCAGAGTTTTGTTACGTAATGTGTAAATGTTATAACAAGATGTTTTGCTGACGTTTTTCTTTAAAAAAATTGAAATAAAAATCCCCTGACTTTTCCGATTGGACAGCATGTCATTGCTCTGCAACTGGAACAAGGTGAGGATGAGTGAAGTAAGGCCCGCCGATTTCATTGGGAAATAAATGCCACGTTAGCTTGGTCTACCTCCAATCCAATACAAAGGCAGTCTTCAATCCGCTGTCGCATTAACTGAGACTCCTTTTTAGTTCTGGGACCACTTTTGAATCCGTTAACCTATAATCGATTAATCAAATGCAGACTGCGGGATTCCCTAACCCGCCACCAAAACTGGGGAAGATTCCTGGCAGCGGAGCACGGAAATGGAAAAGACCCATTAGTAAGCTGAATTTATGTTCCAGCCAACACGGATATGTTGTCTAGGGCTCTAGAGATTGGGGAAATGTTGATTTTAATTGTTATTTGCAAGCATGGCTCCCACGCCACCCGCTTTCCCTCCTCAGATGAGGCAGTCTCTTCTTCATTTGCGGTTTGGAAAATTAGCTCGATCCGTCTTGGATGGACAGAGAAGGCAAGGGAAGCCTTCTGCCCATGAGATCTTTCTTGGGTGCTGTTAGAACCCAAGGGGGCCAAGGTCCTGGAAGGCAGGTCTTCTGCAAACTGGCACTCTCGGGACTGGCTGGACTACACTGCCCATCATCACCCAAACCTCAGGGTTATGGAACTTGTGGTCCAATGCACTCACAGTACAGGGGAAGGTTCTGCTGAGATAACCAGCAAGCCCTGGGTTCTTATTTTTTAAATAAATACTTGGACAGAAAACATTCTCCAGAGTTGCATAGATAGGAGTGGAGGGTTTAGCTAGGTCACAATGTTTCTCAACCTTGGCCACTTTAAGGTGT